CGGTGGTAGAGAGGCCCCGCCATCAAGCATGGAGGTCCACACAAAGTTGGGAAAAGGAAAAAAGCTTTTAGATTTTAAGTCCAGACAGAAGCAAGTGTCTCAGACTGATGGGCTGTATCAGCATTTGTCTGTGATGCCAGAAGTGTCATAAAAGTGTTTGTTTTGATTAGTATTGAAAGTAAAAACTACATCCGTATTGATTTTCAACATTTTTTAAGTTTCTTTTATTTTGGGGATCTGGCAATCTGGAGGTCCTTTTAAAATAAACAGCTCAAAACTATTATGCCTCTAGTAAAATTGCTTTTGAAGGTACTGAGCAATGCTCATTGTGCTTAAAATACATGAAGTAAAATCAATGAAGGCTACTAAAAAATAAGCAAATACAGTAGTGTTTACAATAATAAATATTAATCATAAACATGACTGGTTTTCAAAATTGATTGTCCAGGTCTTGATCTCAGTCAGTTTCTTTCCGAGTAGCTGCAAAGTTTTGTTTTTTTCTTTTTTACTTCTGAGGGATTGGATTCAAACTCTGAACAGAAAATCCTGATGTGAAAACCAACCTTGTTCCATCCTGGGAAGCTGGCCAGTCAGGAACGGATTCCTGGCCAACCTGGAAGCTGCGTCATATTATTGGCCAGTCAGAAATCTTTTTCCGTGGCAGCACAGGGCCTCACATATATGAAGCAAGGACATTTGAATTAAAATGCTGTCTTCTAAGGAATGCTTTTTCACATTAGAAGTATTTTAAATACATGTCAGAAACAGCTTCACATTATAGATTTTAGACATATTGAAAAAATAAAATCAAAGAATATAAAATACTGAATCCTTGAGATTTTGTGTTTTTGTTCTCTGGGTTGCTTTAGATAAATGAGAGGGTAGATTGTTAGAAGATCCTTATTATTCCAAGTTTGTGAGATATTTATTTTATAATGTAGAATAGTATTTTTAAGACCAAATAGCAGAAGAAAGCAAAATCTCTTAGGAAATAAAAAGATCAGAGTTCAAGCATTTGTTCGCTTCAACTTTCCCCGATCTGGAACTAATTTATCACATATGCTTTTTCTCTCTTAACTGAACGACTGAAAGTGTGGGTGACTAAAAAGCACCTTCTGTTGAATGCCCAGACTACCAACAATAAAGTAGCAAGTAACTCCATGTATATTGCTGGTGGGTTCATCAGTGTAATGAGTGATGAATCACCTGCCGTTCTCCAATTTTAAAAAATCAAGCCTAAAATGATTTCCAGTTATTACCCAGCAGAATAAGCACAAATGAAACAATGCACACGCTTGAGTCAGGTGATAAAAATCTGGATGCATGGGATAAGAAAAGTATTGCCGAAAGCAGAGTGTGTGAGAAAGAAGTACACAGAATGCCATTAATCTTTCACACAGAGAATTGTGGAGGCAATCTGTTGGCTATCATAGATGATGCATGACCTGCTATAGGATGATTCGCCTGTTGCATACCAACGCCAAAGCAACTCATGAATGCAGCACACACAACAAAGGCATCCATTCCAAAAATACACTCCATACTGGCTTATGGAGGATAGCACAAGGTACAGAAAATAGAAACCAAATATTCTCAAACTTTACTCTATGACCATAGGATGAATTATACTTCCTTTTTTTTATTATTTGGGAAAAATAGTGGAAGTACCTGGAGACCACGTAATGCTACACATTTAAAGAATGACCTTTTGCAGTTCTTTATCATTCATAAAATGTTTAGAAAATCTGCTGTGCATAATAATTTGGAACAGTGCATTTTGAGTTTTTTTATTTATTTTTGAAATAAATATTTTTCTCATGGGGAGTAAAATTTTATTTATACCGTAAGAGTTCATGACTTGGAAATTATACTGACCATCATTTGCATTGACCATTTAAGAAAATCTGAGAAAATATCACTTGCATAATAATTTGGAACACGGCGTATGAGCAAAAGTAGTTATCTTTAAATTATAGTATTAATCTTTCAATTATAGGGCAGCCCAAACATTCAGATAGCTGATTGATAATCATTTAGAGAGAGCATTAGGTCATCAACCAATTAGAATTCGTCTGACATTCTCCTAGATTACACCTCCTGTTTCCTATCTTGCCAGGTATAAAAAAAACATATCTTGCATGTGTCTAAACATGAGGAAATTGTGTGATTTTAAAGGAACATCAGGTTCACTGAGTACAATAATATGTGCCACATTATCTTTGTATTGTGTTTCCACTTGTTCCTTCTGTCCTCCTCCTCCCCTTAATATCTGACAAGGTTATTCATTTTATCAAATGGAAACTGTTGTTTTTGTACCAACATTGAGCCCATTAGCAACAAAAACTATGCTTTTCCATCTGCGGAAAACATCTGCGCTTTGGAAAGGTTGCTGAACTTTTCAATTAATTTCAACATCTGTAATTTTTCTTGTATCCGTTGTTTTAGTGAACATCTGTCTATGTCAGTTCATTCCAAAGTCTTCTTAAAGTGAAATAATAACTAACCCTAAAAATTATTCTTCAGGGAGCCATCAAAATCTTAGACTGGTTCATTTATTCGTATAAACAGATCAATACCTCAGAGCCAGGTCCTATCAATTCAAATTTGTGTGTTTGTTTGAGAGCAGTAAGTGTTAATAAGAGGTGTTCTGGCCTTTGAACAGTAACAAAATGCAAAGCAGCTTGAAAAAGAGATAATTTTCTGAGTACACAGAGGTTAATACACCTTCAAAATTTCTGTCCTTTTCTCACTTCACCACAGACTTATTAAAACCAAATATGCAACACACTAGTGAATTCAGTCAGGTCGAGGATGTTGCTAAATTACTAGCTGTGCTTCAGTTTAATATTTAATTGCATGTGATTGCAGGTGATATATATAAATCTGAGGAAGGGGATTTAATCAGTTTTTTTTGTGTGTGTGTATAATGGTTATCTGTACTTTCAAAGGAGTTCCCTTTACAAATAAAGAGTTTCAATCTGACAGAGCAGTTAACTTTTTTCCCCTCTTACTGATCAAAAAGACCTGCATCCTGTTCCTGCATTTAAAGCAGGTTTTCCTATGAGTAATTGCCTCTTTAAAGACTCCCTCACTTACCTGATGGCCATATGAAAAAATGTGTATATTGTATTCATAAGCACACCACACACAAGACACCACACATTCAATCTTTACTGAGTCAAACGATGAAGAATTACTTGCTATTATCGAGATTCTTATTAAATTTAACTCCAGCAATACTGCTTTGTCCTACAGGCAGCACTTTGTGAATTCATCAAGCCCAGTTGCTGTGAAGCTGTGTTTGAATTAAATGTACAACTCATTTTGCAGTATGTATTAGATCAAACTGGCACCTCTCTCACCTCATTATTATCTTTACAGCTGGTGGCTTTTTAAGATTTGTGCACTTACTGGTTCAGTGTTAAACCTTTAATATAAATTTCAACCACCCATGTTCTCCTCTCTCTTTGATTCTTTACTAAGCAACAGAGGGGCATTGCAAGATATAAAGGTTTGGTGGGGGCGCAATCTGAACATGAATGAAGCCTGGACTGAAACATTTCAGTCAGCCTGGACTGAAATGTTTTCAAATGATCGCCTGTTAGTATCAGGAAGAAAAAAAACAACCTCAGAAAAGGATTTATTAACAGTCTGAGCTCAAGTGAGATCAAGCTTAAGGAGACAAACTGATAGCTTAGACAACATCCTCCAGGATTAGCAGGTAGAGGGAGAATACGTGGTGTTCTCCTTCAAACAACATGTCAACCACAAAACAAATAATTGCTTTTTTCCATCTAAAATTGCTATATCCTCCAGTCATCGCCCCCTTCTTGGGCATTGAAATATTCACCAATGTTTTAATCAACTGCAGACTTGATCACTGTAACAGCCTTTGTTATTGTTCATTATTCCTGGGGGGGATGCATTTTAGACTGGCTGTTGTATTTTCACATTTGTTCTCAAATGTCTTTAGATTGGAGTACAATATGCTACTTTTGGACATCTCTTAGCCTATTTGATATTTTTAGTGAGTGATATCCTTAAAATGGATATTCTATCTATCTTATTACACCCAAGTTTTCAGATGTATATTCAACATTTCCTAAATAAAATAAACTTCTGTGAAGTTTTAGATTGTTCAGTCTTTTCATAAAACTTTCTTCCACATAGTCAGATGTTCTCGTGATCTTTAAAAGTGGGCTTTCACTATGTTTTAACAGCAACAACCTTTTGGTTGAGTTTGATTGCGATTAGTGGTGGTACACTGAATATTTGAAGATATTTATAGGGAAATGTGCATTAGGAAAATGTGTATAACAAAGCCTTTGCTGACGAATGTTCCTGTTTTCTTTCTATTAGACTAGCAAGCTATTTTACCATGTCTACCATAAAAAAAGTCTAAACGCCTCAGTTTTCCATACCTCATCCTTGTTTTTCTGCTCTCTTCACTACTTCTTTGTATAAAACTAGTTCATGCAACCAAAAGAAAATTAAATGAATTGCCACTAACTTTATCTTGCAATTGGTGGATGAAGAGACTAAACATAGAGAAAGAAACTGAGAGAATGAGGTGCAGCGCCCAGAAAGACACGGCGCAGTGCCCAGATTACAATCTGTTTTGCCAAGCCTGTTATTGTTACTGCTGAAATGCTTTTTAGGCCTGAAAGACAATTACTTTGGCAGCTCCAGCAGGTTTACAGTCATACACACTTTAGTATTAAAACTGATTGTGTAAAACAGCACATTGTCTTGCACAACCTTGACAGAAGAATTAAATGTAATAATTTTTTTCTCTCTTCATTCTGTCTCTAAACTTATTTTAATCTTTTTTTATCACCTTTTACCTTTATCATCTCCCTCATCTTCTTTCTCATCTATTCTATCAAATCACCTCTTTAATCTACCTAATCTCTTCGCTCTCTTTTTCTGGAAATGCTTTTCCTCTTCTTCCCTTTTCTCCCTCGCTCTCATCACTCCCACCCCCACACCACTCTTTGTAGGTCTCTGTCTGGACGTATTGTCGGAGGTGTGTGGTGGTTCTTCACTCTGATCATCATCTCCTCTTACACAGCCAACCTGGCTGCTTTCCTCACTGTGGAGCGGATGGTCTCACCTATCGAAAGTGCAGAGGACTTGGCTAAACAGACAGAGATAGCCTACGGAACACTGGATTCAGGCTCCACGAAGGAGTTCTTCAGGGTATGGACTCTCTGCAGGCTTTTCAAGATAAATCTTGAATCAAAAGTATTCTGAATCCTGTGTCTTTAATTTCATCAGTAAAGATAAAAATCATAAAATGAATGAGTTTTTGTTGACCAGCCATTCTACGAAGATTTGACTTTCTTCTATGATTTTCTCATTTTATGAGTAACGGCGACCACTTTGGTTGGCTGGAGTTCCAAAGCATTAGAAATGTATTTAAATGCCCTGCCATACGGACAGGCTTCAGGGATTTTCTGTTCTATTTGTTTTGGAGCTTCTCTTGATCAGTGCATGCTCTGATCTTAGCCTCATAAACTGGCTTCACAGCTTTTTTCTCGTTTTAAATTAAATAGTCACTTCAATGGGTGTTTTTTTGTTTGTTTTTACTTAGATTGATGTCAAATATAAGTTTTTGTGTCTCTTGAACACTTAAGATGGCAAAATAGCATAACATGTTAGACACTATAATATATTTTCATGCCCATACAGTATTTGCAATTGTGATACAAAGATGGGTATTAGCCAAAATATTTCAAGAACTATAGACAAAAATTTTCTAAATTTTTTTTTTTTTTTTAACATTTTTTTTTCACTTCTAAGAGGTCCACTAAATGTTAAACTGCTGTTTCTTAACTGGGCTGGGAAAACATGGGAAATTGATATTCCATATCTTTGAAGCTTTCATGGTAACTCTTCGAGTTGAACATAGAAAGGATTATGTGATATTTTTTTATTTTTTTTAGCTTTAGTGATGAAGTGTCACTTACATGCTTTTTTTTTGTTTGCTTGTTGGTTTCAAGAATTCATTCCCATGTTTAATGTTTACCAACAGTCTATGAAGGATTCTTGAGGAATCCTCTCAATTATTAAACCCAGCTGAGCAATGTTTATCAGAGTCCTTACATTTAATCACTCTCCCACCAAGTCACACAGAGTTATTAACTGGCTAATTATCATCAGAGTAAATTATACAGGAAATTAAACTATGTAAATGAAGACAGAAGAAACATATAGAGCTAAATGCTCTGCATGGAACTTCTATGGGAAACAAAATTAGACGGAAAGTAAATTATCCCAGAGAAAAATCACGATGCCTTTTTTATCCAATTTCAACAAATGTGTCCCATCAACATTTGAATATAGTTATGAAGTTTCTTTATTTTTTTTTTTTCCTGCTGACAATAGCAAACAGCTAAGATGGCGTAATACACTTTGACCCCAATATCCTCCTTCACTGGTGCATGTGCTTTTGTGCTTATGCGCTTCTATGCTTCTGAAGGATATGTGCATTGGTATTTTTGTTTGAGTGCTGTGTCTATGAGTGTGGCGGTGGTTGGAGAAAGGAGCAGGGTGGGGGCTGGTCGAGGAGCTAGTGGCAGATAGTTTTTACTTCTCTGAGTGGCTCTCGCATCATCAACATAACGAGCGTGCCGAAATCTGTGGAGGGTGAAAAAGCAATTTAATCTCCCACAGCTGAGGGGGATTCGCCACCACCATTAATTATCTTTGCGTGTGTGTATGTGCGCTTGTGTACACACACACACACACACACACACCCACACAAGTGCATGCATGCATGTATGCACATTTAGCTAAATTTTATGAATACAGTTGACATGCCCATGGATGTTTGAGTGGCATGTAAAATGCATCTGTTCCCGTGTGTATTTAGAAAATGTGTGCATGGGAGGCCTGAAGGTGACTTGAAGCATCCATTTCCTCCTTCACAGCCACATTCATTGTTAAAGAATTTGGAAAAGCCACAGTATTTTGTCACACATCTATCCCTCTAGGGCTAGACAGTGTTCTGTACGTGCACAGAAGCTTCAACATTACTGTCTCCTCTGTGTCCCGGACATTACACAGACAGATGAATGAAGGGGCTGCAGAGGATGACGAGAATTTATGATAGCTTCCCCTGGCTAGGGTGAAAAATAAAGGCAAAGGTTGGGGAGAAAGTCAGGATATAAGAGAGAGAGGGGAATATTGGTCCTCTTGAATGTGAATGGCATTATTATAGGATAGGTGTCCGTCACGGACCATCAGCACCCTGACACACGCATACCATCCCCTGGTGTTGATTTCACTTCCTCAGGCCCTGGCTTGTTACTTGCAAAGCAACAAGAGTAACATTTAAATACCAGGAGACAGAGAGGGAGAAGAAATCGAATGCTTGTGGAGGATGCTTGTTATTTTCACTCATGAGTAAACACAATTCACACACTTGGACAGAAGCAAATAAGTCTCTCAAACACATATAGACTGGTGAAAAAAAACGCCTTATGTGCAGACGGAGACCAACGGCTTTATCACTCCGGACAGACGCCTACTGAAAGACTCCTCAGAATTTGTAGCAGCATGATTAGCATGCAACTGTTCAAGTCATTCGAAGTGAGACTGATGCTTGACTTTTTGAGAGAGATATAGTGTTACATTCACAATGAGATTATAAAAGTCATTATATGCCCGAGCATAAAAATGGTAGATGGATAAGACAGCCTTCAATCAGCAGTGTAATATTATTCAAAATTCAAATTGTATTCTAATCAGCTCTAACAGTTTGGATATTTATTGCTACAGCATATAAAGCTGTAGCAATAAATCAGAAGCTTTAAAGACACATTTATAACATAACCAGCACTAAATTATATCTGTGTTGTCATTTTGTCAATTTATTAAAAAGCATCTATTAAATTCAACTGCAGTTTCATTTATAAATATTTCTGTTACATCTCAAATGCAGCAATTACATTTTAATGATTAAATCCATAATTTGATAAGCAGCTAATTTTGTAACCTATAGGGAGGGGCATTAAGAAATAGACACAAATTCAATGGAAACAATCATTGTAAATGTCTGACTAAATTCACAAACTGAATATTCGACCTAATATGGTAGACCTTAACTGTTTTTCTTTTTTACATCTGATAAGGAATATTTATGTATTTTACTGTTAAATGTACAGCCATATGTGAAGGTGTTATTAATCCTAGAGGCAAATTGGCTGTAAATAAATGTCTCTTTTAGGCCTCACATGAAATGAGATTGCTTTTACGCAGGATGCAGCGTTGTACCACAGCAGAGCCTTGTGTTGTACAGCAGGCAAAGTTTAAAAAAAATAAGTGAATATTATATTTGACAAGTAAAAGCTCCCTGTTTGTGTGCAGTGCTGTCAGCTGCACTGCTGGTTCTATTGTGTTAAAGCTAACACCAACTCTTCATCCTGCTAGTGAAAATAAAAACAACAAAATCAAAAAGGAGGCAGTTGGTGACTTGTTGTGATACAGAGAGCAATGTGACAACTGTATTACAATGTTCTACTTTCAGCTCAGTTCAGATCAGTTTAAAAGCACAAATAAGTCTTAGCAAGCCGACCACAGAGTAAAAGTATTATTTAATGAATTAGTGACTGTCTTAGGTTTGAAAGTCCGTTGGTTGTTTGAGACTTGCTATTGAATCAATAGCTTTTCCCCCTTGATTAAATAAATAATTCTGAAATATTCCAGAAAAAACCTTTTGTTTGTTACGGTGCCATGAGAAAAAGCAGAAACGCACATGTCAGTGTTTTTATTGTTTACGTACCATGAAGGTAAATTAAGCCTAGTGACTAAATTATGTTTTATGCTTTAGATCCTTTTGTAAGATCACTTTTATGAACATCGGTTTTTGAACATTGTCGTGTCGGTGGGATGGATATGAACTATGACTGGGTCACACCCACACATGAGTATGCTTTGATCTAAACCAAATCATTGGATTCATGATTGTCTGTTCAGTTGATATTAAGTCTTCTACAGGTTGCAACAAGTTTTATTCCAAATTTGTTCTGTTTTCTGCTGTCTTATGCCTTTTGCGAACTTTAAAGTGCAATTGCTTTGCACTTTCTTTTGATTAATGGTGGAAATTGATTTTAAAAATATTAATTAATTAATTGTGAATAATCAAAAATATTTAATGTTTTTTAGTTACAATAAATTTCTTAATGTCATGCCAGTTGGATTCTAGTGACATATCAGTACCTCAACTGAAATGGTAGATTGATTTCTAGGCAGGAAAAATATATTTTTGCATTTCATGTTGACACGTTTTTCTTCTATCTTCATAGCAAGTGTTTAAAAAGCACCCAACATAAACATTTTTCATATGTTTAATAGCCACAAGAACTGTAATCTGCATCAAATTCTGCATCTTTACCTTTGTGAAACGATGCCTTCTAATGTGCAAATAACCCTTGGTTTCTCCTCTCACCCGCTCCACCCCAGAGGTCCAAGATAGCCGTTTATGAGAAGATGTGGTCTTACATGAAGTCCGCTGAGCCATCCGTGTTCACCAGAACCACAGCAGAGGGTGTGGCAAGAGTGCGCAAGTCCAAGGGGAAGTACGCCTTCCTCTTGGAGTCCACCATGAACGAATACACGGAGCAGCGGAAGCCTTGTGACACTATGAAAGTGGGAGGAAATCTGGACTCCAAAGGATACGGCATTGCCACACCGAAAGGCTCACTGTTAAGGTGGGTGGAATAGTGTAACAATAGGAAACAGTAGCAACACTGATACTGTACTATTGCTGCAAAATTCCACCTACCCTGCTGTGCCTTTTAATCCACACAGATTGGACTGTCACTGCTGTCAGGTGGCAGGTTTTTTGTTTTGTTTTGTTTTTTTTAAACTTAAAATCTGAAGAACTGGAGTGATGATCAATCATTACTTTATTTTTTTTATAGAAATTAAACTACAATAATTATTAATTTATTCTAACTTTATGTGTCAGTCCACTTGGCAGCAGTGACAAATAAATGTTGCAAATGTAAAAAATTATATCATCATGCTTTCTCATTTGCTTTGGTTTTTCTCTCTTTCTTGTTTTTCTTTTTTTTTTTGTATTGTGTGTAATTGTTTCTGTCACTGTTTCTGCTGTACTCGTCCTTTTCTGCCACCACTCTTGATTTAGGGCATGTCCCCTTCATTTCTCTGTCCAGTGTCGCTACCATCCATACATCTCATTTGTGGTTCTCACCTCTGTTGCACTGTCAGCCATTCTCCCTTTTTTTCCATAGGGCCAACTACCAGGTAACTTTGTACATTCGTCTGCTGTCTTAAGTGTGTTTTTTTATGATGATAATGATGATGATGGTCATGATGATTCGAGTGAATAATATTTAAATGTATTCACAGTAATCTGCCATGAGGAGGGGCAGAACCTCAGACTTCTGGCACTTTCTCCAGAGCCACAGAGGGGGAATTTATAGACAATCAGGAATCATAAAACTGAGGGGCCTGGTCAATGGGGGGACTAGTGAGTAAAACTAACAAGGTTTCTTGTGTCAAATTGCAAAGTCAAAATTAAAATTATTATTTTATTAAATTTCTGGATGACACACAACTGTAATTTCTTTTTAAAGAATGCCAGAAGAAAATGTCAAATGATGCAGTACTTTATATCAGTGTTTCCATAAAAGTTTGATTAAAATCAGAAATGAAGGATAGAGGAAATGAATGAGAAAGCAATTGAATTTGACTACAGTTGGTCAGTTTACATCCTTCACTCCTCTGACTTATTGGCTTGAGTTCACAGTAAGAGCAACCAAGGATTTTATTTTAGTGGGACATTAGTAAATCTAATTCACTTATCAGATCACTATGTGAACATTACAAAGTATTTGGGGTACATTGTGGTTCACAGCAAACTCAAATCAGAAGTCAGAAATGGGACCTGATTTTGCCTCTTCACCATTTTGTCTTTGCCATTTGGATCGCTCATGCACAGCATGTGTAAATTTATTTCTCAAGCAGTGGTAATTTTGGTAATTTTCTTTAATTGCTTATTATCTTCTGTGAGAAAATGCAGTTTTCTATTTATCTCAATGATTCTTAGTTACTGGAAAGAAAAACTAACAAGCTGACAAGCTTAAGCTCATAAACTAACAGATGCCATATGGGAGAAGTGAAAAATTGCTTTTGATTTTATAGAAATCAGTGAAGGCATAAAGATACCATGGACTACAGTACTATAAAGCTTACTGTAGTAAAACATCAGATAGGTTCCTTTTAGCCAAAAGGCATTTCTACACAGTTCTGCAGCACACACACACAATGTTTAGTACTGTGCAATGTAAATGGACCAGGTTAAGATCCGGTGACTCCACTGGGTGTGGTCAGCTCTGAAGACAATCAGGACAAACATTACACTGCACTCCAGATAAAACCCACTCTCACCCTTCTTATTTATTTTATTACCAGGGATCAGACACTGCTAAGACAGCCCTGAAAAATAGTATTTTTCCTTCTAAATTCAGTAAGTTTCTATATTTTACTCCTAATCAGCTGTATTACTGTACAGCTTTTGTAGCAAATGTTTACCAAAATGTTTTTTTTTTGTTTTTTTACATATTTTTAAAATCTATCACTACATCCTGACAGCGTAATATGAGACACATAATCTGTGAAAAAAAGTCTCCTCTGCCTCCTCCCTGTGGCCCTACTGCCATCTGCAGAAATACACAGCTCCTGGTTAAAAACAACCAATCTGAGCCAGAAGGAGGGACTAAACACTGTCAATCACACTTGTGTATGCACTGCTCACACCTTCCCTTTTCTGCTCTGCTGTGCTATTGCTCCTTGCCCACGGTGCTGTTTGCCGTAAATTATCAGGCTAACCATGGCCTCCGATGACAGAGGACAAACAGTTTTCCTAGTACAGAGGTTGTTTCTCTGCCATTAATACATCACTCCTTCCTTACTAAGTTTCACCAGACTAGAAGAGCTGCTTAAAGAAACAGAGGTCAATTTCAAGGTTTCAAATTGCAAAGACAATTGAAACTTAAATTTCTGAAGGTAACATAGTTACTTGAATGTCCTATAAATTGGCATTATCTGCTTGCAAAATACATTGTAGCCACTTTTATTTCATTTGGGATTTATTCGATAGCCCAACAAAAATTAACTTATTGAGAAATTATTTGAAAATTCTACATAGCCTGAAGGGTTTTTAAATGGCATTTCTATTTAGCCCTCCTAAGTCAAGGACAATCTTTTGCTGCATGTGCAGCTTTAAGTTTTTGATGTGCATCACTATTAGCATCGTAGTGGACATCTAGAAATGAAGATAGTTGAAAAGAATTTTTGACAATTTTCCTTGTAAAACGGCTGAAATTTGGCTGCATGTGACAGAGAAAATCTATAAACATAATTTTCTAATTGATTATTAAATTTGTTTCAAACTGAATATGGTAAGACCTTAATGGAAATTATAAACCCAAAATTATCAGGAGATGAGCACACAAAACAAATCCACTAGTGGTTCTTTTTCTAACTTTATTCAGGTTGGGTCATGTCTGTGACGCCATCCGCCACCCAACATGGCGTACTACCATGAACTCCTTCTCAGGGCTACTACAAAATTTATCCAGCTCACCCCAAGGAGTGAAAAAAGAAGTGGGCAACCGACTGTTGCCAACTTACTTCTCTGAAGAGATTTTCAGATTGCAAAACAAACTTTTTTGTCCAGTGTTCAGATACTCCTGTGATTCCAAGTTCACCAGGAGTCCTGTTAAATTCTCCCTCTTATGTTCAGAGAGAGGAAATTGTGGGGCACACAACACAGTAATCACTTCAACAGTGCCATCTAACACTCCACAGCACCTTGACAGTGTTACAAAGCACTCACTCACTTTTGCCCCAGTGCACCTATTGTTTTTTTTCTCGAGGAATCCGAGAAAATGAAACAACCTTTTCTTCAACCTTCAACATGTTGCCAAAGGCAGAAACCCTCCACAAAAAAATAAAAAAAACAAAAACTCTCCTCTTTGCCCAACAGAGGGAGCACGCACTGACACGGCTTCACATCAACCACAGTATTTCTAGTTGTTAAAGAGTTCATAGCCCTATATGATCATTCACCACATCTTGGTAAAGGAAGACAATTCTTGAAGCCTCAAAGACCCGCCAGGAAAAAAAAGTGAAGTACCTTTCACGCAATGCACGCACCAGGAAATCTGAACAGACAGACCAATCTTTTAGGAATCCATCTGTACAAAGAATGAACGCTGAACCCTCAAGTGGTGCAGCAGACCTGGCAGAGATAACAACAGGCTGTGCTAAATCTCTTCACTTCATGGGAAAATGCTCACTGCCCCAGTGAAGCATCTCTTCCAGATGCTCCACTGGGCATGGACGTGCTGATACACTCATGGCCAAGTGTGGTGCTCCATGTCTGAGCCTAATATTCCCAACTCTACTCAAGGTGAGAGAACAGGGCTTAACTTTGAATCTGGAGGCCATTGAAACCCTGAGTGGTGGAGATGATCCAAGTTCTGTCAGCAGAACCATGGCCCGCCCGTCCTCGTTCTCAGGGACCTTCGATCTGAGGTCCAGGGAGAGATTTATGATCCACATCCAGATCATCTGGCTCTCTGGACAAGGTGGCTATTAAAAGGTGGACCCTACATGCAGCACGACTCCCTCCAGACGTCAGAGGCCCCATTCAAAATGTAAGCACTTCTACTCGCTCTTGGTTAATTGCACGTTTTTGAGAACTGGTGTGTGGAAAGACAACCCATTCCTTTTCAGTGTTCTCTGCTTCCTGCAGAGCTTGTTGGAGAAGGGAATCCCTTTCCAATTATTAAGTACTATGCAGCTGCAGGTTCAACTCATCAGGTAGAGTTTGATGATAAACCTGTGGGACTTGAAATATACAAAGTGAAAAGTTTAAACCAAAATGCAGGAGTTTTGAAACGTCTACATGCCGATGTTTCCCACAGACGGAAAGTACAGGAAAAATTTGACCAACTGCTCTCTCTTCTGCTCCTCTATCTATTTTTGTCATCATTTGTCAGATTTGCTCTGTGAAAGGCAGAGCATGAACACTACTTCAGTCTCAAGTCCTGTACTATAACTCCCCCCCAAACTTCGATTATTCAAAGTTTTTCAAGACCCCAGCTTCCCTGCAGTTCAACTCCTATTGAACAAAAAAACCCTTTCCATTTAAAATAAAGAACTTCTGACAGGATATGGATATGTTGCTGTTTAAACCTCCTTAAAACTAATCATTGAAACTTTCCATGGTTGTCTCTGATGTCTGTCAGTCGATAGAAAGCACTGTATTCCAGTCATGGGGCAGTGAGAGCCTGAGTTTGAGTCTTCCTCTCCTCCTGGTGTTTGCAGCACTGAACTGACTTTATGATGTTGCTGACAGGCATGACTCCTTTGATATTTAATTTTTCAGCAGATAAATGTTCTTTTCTTAACTAGAGCTGCTGTTGTATGAATAATAATGAATACCTGTAATGTTTTTTTTTTTCTGATTTTCATACATGTTTCAACTATTGTCTTCCATACCTTATAAGTTGAGATGTCACAGCTTGTAGATGAGATCCCCCAAAGAACACTGTCTCTTTCTGAAGCTGAAGTATTCATGATTATTTTTTTTGACCAGGCAACAACTTTTCAGTCCCAGCATGGGATGAAATGTAACCTGACCATCAAGTTTTGAGATATGATGTCAGGTGTGCGGTCAAATTAGCAGACTAAGAAACATCTAGGCTGGCACTATGGTAGAAATCCCAATACATTGTAGAATTACAAAATTATGGATATCAGAGAGCTTTCTGAGATGAGAAAGAGGAAAAAGGAAAGAAAATAGAAAAAATTTTACCACATGAAACTAACCTAAAATAAGTGAACTGGTTTGGTTTGGTTTAATTTAACTGGAGAAAAAAAAAGGTGTATGTTGTTTTTTTTCTGCAGTTTATGTAAACTTCTGGTGTCAGCCGTACACAGGACATTATTTTGTTTACATGAGACAAAATTGCTTTGCATACAGTCCAGGAATGTCAGATTATTTAGCCTGGTCCCTGTGGATTTAGTTTGAAGGTCAGTTAGCTTGTTACTGTGGGAAGGACTGCTGCAGTTCTCGTCTGTGCAGCTCAGCAGAGAAAACTGAGAAGATGGACAAGAGCACCATCAGCAGGCTGCAGAAATCTGATTACCTTAGTTTACTCATGTAGACTGTAACCTCTGACGAGTGCTTGCTCAGAAACAGTAACAGAAGAACCTGCAAAACTTTGCAAGTTAGTAGAGCATGGATAGAAAAAACTCTTAACAGTCGGAGACAGGGTTGTTTGGGGTGCATCTCTCTCCACTAGCTCACCTTTATGCCTTAAGCCCTTTTTGATTTATCCTTCCCATTCGTTCTCTCCTCCTTTTCCCTCTCTCCTTCTCCCCCCCCTGGCTGTGATTTCCATCTATCTTGTCTGTTTGTCCCTCCATCCTCTGCTCTGACCAAACTATGTTATCTGTCCCTCCTTTTTTACTTAAAGAAACGCGGTCAACCTGGCCGTGCTAAAACTCAACGAGCAGGGCCTGTTGGACAAATTGAAAAACAAGTGGTGGTATGACAAAGGAGAATGTGGCAGCGGGGGAGGGGATTCCAAGGTTAGCCCTCTCTGTCTGCCCCACCCGCCCCTCCCCAACTACTCAATGACAGGGGCCGCTCACAAGCTGCAGGAGCTTGCGATGGCCCCGTCCTTGGAGAGTGTGACACATGCATCTGCCCCGCCGAAAAGTTTATGGACCACACAGGGGAGAGAAAATATTTTATAGATATATATTGGTATGTAGTGAGGAAGCCCTTATTTCAAAATAAGTATTTCAAAAAGTCTTTTTTGAAAGAGTAAATTGGTTTGACTAAATTCCAAAAGGTAGAAATTCAACAAATCATCAAAAAACTTTATCACAGTGCATAACATATTGTTAATTTCACTATTGACTTCACTATTAATGAGCAATAGAAGAAAGCAATGACAAAATTTAAGTGATTAATATTAGCACATAGAGAGCAATTACTGTGAAGACAGGAATATTTCCCCCCTTCTAGCTGCTCTGAGTAAAGAAAAGAGAGAAGTTAAAAAATGGTATGAGGACTACACACTCAGATTGCATCCGGTTCTTAACTGGGGAGCTGTTGTACTTACAGATGTTAATTTGGTCATTTCTTTATATCAACATTTGTTCTGCATCTGAAGATGAGGGCATCAAAGTGTTCATGTAAAAAGTACATCATTTCACATAGTAGTAAAAAAACAAGGAGGAAATTATTTAAGTACATGTATTCAACTTAAAACTAACTTTATATTTAGCCATTCTGTAATTACAGACATGAATAGTTGTTTACTCAGTAAAGGTCATTTTACAGTTATTCAAATATCTGTGGTTTATACATTTTCAGAAGTATTTAGCTTAGATAAACACATGTTCTTCACACTGAGGACCTTACACTGTGGATTATAATAGAGAAACCAGTTTACACATTTAATTTATATAATTTATACACACTGACAGTGTCATAATGATGCCATATAAGCCAGTAGTTTTTCTATGCCTTAATAAAAATAATATCAGTGTGACGCCAATTAAATGTATTTTTGTTTATTTGATCAATATAGAGTTGGTGCATCACCATCTCAGAAATTACAAAGACACACCAAGATAATTTAGATTAATCGTTTTGGAAGTGTGCCTGTGCAGAGTTGGGTGCCAGTCTAACCATTAACAAAAGATATTGCATTAGTTTCCTTTATATGCAGAAGCTGTCTTGGCAAAGTCTGAATTAATTAGAGACTGGATCAAATGTAGAGCTAACCAGCAGAAAAACCTAAGCTGAAATAATCGACTTACAGCAACAGTACATTTAAAGAACTGTAGTGACTCGTTAATGATATCATGTCATAAATGTATTTAAATTGTCAGTTCATGAAATGATAAGCTTCATACTTTAAGTTGAACAAGTGTAGCTCTCTCTCGCTCAGTGGCAGCATATAGCTAGCTTGATCCTAAAGACCTGTCTTGATAGTATTTTCTTTCTGTTTCATTGTGGGATTAGCAGGGGCAGAATGAATGTGTTACCATCAGTGACAAAGGTGGGTCCCACTCATATGTATGTAGCTCGACTTAGCTCCACGTAGCCCTCCCTCCCCCCAGCCCCTCCTTAAACGAGCATACACACATGTACTCAGTGGGATCCAAGCTAGGTCACTTGTATGTAATCAAAGTTTTCTATGTGACTTGAGATGTTCAATGCAAATGTGAAATACCATAATAACATAAAATAACATGACCTATGATGTTATTTATGTTATTTTTACACGCAAAGAACCCCGGTAAACCTTGCAGTTTTGAAACTGAGCGAAGCAGGCGTCTTAGACAAACTGAAAAACAAATGGTGGTATGACAAGGGAGAGTGTGGACCCAAGGACTCTGGAAGTAAGGTCAGTCTCACGCTGCTGTGGCCTGCAGAACGCTAGCCTAAAACTCATCTTGAATGCGCTACAGATTACTGCAACTACTGCCTTAGAAGTACCTTTTTTCAAAACTGCATGCTTGACATACAATTTAATGGTGATTTCTTAAAATGGGTAATTTTTATTAGATTAAATTAAGGTTCTGGTTAACCCCAGACCAAGAATTATAGCAAATTCTTGTCCAGTTTCTGTAGCAATCTGCGGCAACCCCATCTTCATTACAGTTCCAGTGGTATTAGAAATTCCCACCATTCATAATTTTTGTTTATTCTCATTTGTTACTTTAGATTTAATGTCTTGAAACAAATCTACTCTTGGGAGTAGTGCTGATGTATTACAGTAGTTGTCCCTTGCTTTTGTTCTTTGTATTTTATCAGGATAGCATAATTTTACATTACTTATCTTCATAGGATGGGCTTAAAATATACTTTCAAAGTTTTCGTTCTCTCTTTGGGTAATAAAATACTGAACCATTTAAGTAGGTGCTACTAGGACTGCCACAGTAACAAATTTTGCTGGACGATAAATTGTCCCAGAAGTTATTGCGATTAACGATAATGGTGTTTTGAGACCATTTTCAAGTAATGTAATGGTAATGGCAAAATGTGAGAATACATTCTCAAAGATCAATAAACTTCAAATTAGTGAACATTTAGCACTGGAATCTTAAGACATTTTAAATATCCAAAATAAATAAACAAAAACAACAAAGGCAACAAATGAAATGAATTATGAAGACTCTGGAAACAAAATTGTCCTTCAAAAATTGCTATTTAAAAAAACCCCCATCAAACTGGAGACTTTTGACATCCAGAGTTTGGTAGAAAGAGAATAAAGAGAACAACAATAAATCATGCAAATGGAAATTATGGAGTTTGTTTTAATTTATTATGCAATTGATTTATTGCTTATTGTGACAGGCCTAGGTACTACTAGAAGATATCACTCACATTGAGTTCTTAAATGCAATAAACCTCTTAACATTGTATAATGATTTGAACACCAATTAGCCTGATATTCTCCAAAAAGATCTAATACTGTTTCCCTCAGATGTTACCTAAAAAAGCTTTTGTTTGTGGTGCATCTGTGATTGTAGAAAAGTCAAAGTATTGACTGATAAGGCTGAGTACATCTGCACACATCACCCTATTTAGTGTTTTTTTTCTAAAACAAATTTGAAAACTATAATTTTCCTTCCATCTCACACTGATGTACTATGTTTTGTTAATTTATTAGATAAATCCTAATAAAATACATTGAAGTTTGCATTTGTAACATGACAAATTTAGAAATTCAAAATATATGTACTCCTCCGTAATGCAGGTAAATTCACTTTGAAATAGTTATAAATGTAGACAAATGGAGCAATTGAATTGTTTGCACAGAAATCTGAAATTTTTCCAAATATGGACAGAAAAGTCAACAAATAGGAGTAAAATTATAAACATCTCAATTCTAACTGAATGAAAGCCTAATGTAAAATGAGTTATTCCTAATACATTTAAAAATGTAACTTGTTTTTTTTATATTTATTAAATCTGTCACTGTATTTTGACAGCATAGAATGAGACAGATAATTTATGGAAAAAATCAAGCTTCTCCACCTTCTCCCTAACTTATTACTGCAATCTGAAGAAATGCTCCACCCTCAGTCAAAAAAAAAAAAAAAAAAAAAATCAGAACCAGGATTGGCTCTGAGCAGCGTTGGCAAGCAAAAAGAATGTGCTAATAGCGAAGAAACGACTTTCCATTCATGCTAACTCGCCTTATCTGTGGAAAGCTATTTTGTGGTGAACCATCTGTATTATAGCAGATAGCAAAGGGGAGAGGGTGAGCATTAGCATGATTGACGGCGCTAAGACCCTCCTCCTGTCTCTGATTTGTTGCGTTTGACCGATTGATGTATTTCTGAGGTTTGGAGTTGGAGCACTAGGAGAAAGCAGAGGAACTCAAAATTTTCACATATTCTCTATCTTATACAGTTAGGACATAATCCAATAACAAATAAGTAAAAAAAATATATATAATATATATATATATTAGAAACATTACATGTTGCAGCTTTAAAGAATATCGTTGTTAGTCCATAAAAAGTATGCTTTAAATAAAACAAGAGCCAACATGTTTATATATTATATTTTTATGTAGACTTAGTTACATCTCCTCTCATTAAAATTATTTTTTTCTTTTTTCGTAGCTTTAAACAAACACAATATAAAAACCGTTGCAAGTTTCTAAGATGTTTTGTAGGTTACTGTCTTTTACTGATATGAAAAGAAGTTTAATTTTATTCTCAGAAATTTTGAAATCTGTAGTTGCACTTATGTCATAAATGTGTTTTTAAATGTGTTTCGTAGTGTTTGTGGTGGCAGTAGTGAAACTTGTAGCTAGTATCATGTAATATTGTGATTAGTCCTACTACTGTAATGTTTTTGTCAGTGACATAGAAAACCTTACATCAACAGAATATTTGTTATTTTGCGTTATCTTCTTTTCTGTGTCTAACTCACTCTTCCTTATTTTCTCTCTTTCTTCCCTCGTTTCACCCCTATTGATCACTTTCCTCACTCTTCCTCATGTGCTCTCTTCTTCGACTTGCCTTTCCATTCTTCATCCATTCAACTTTTTCCACTCATTTCTCCTCAACTCATCCATATCTTTTCTCGAACCATCTTTATTTTTTATTTTTTTTACAAACACCTTGACTCCTCCGTCCTTCCCTCGCTCTTCCTTCCTGCAGGACAAGTCGTCTCAGGCTCTAAGCCTGTCCAACGTGGCTGGAGTCTTCTATATCCTCGTGGGTGGCCTGGGTCTGGCTATGCTGGTGGCCCTGGTCGAGTTCTGCTACAAGTCACGGGCCGAAGCCAAGCGCATGAAGGTGGACCTTAGCCCCCCCCACTGTCCCAGCCCCTCCCCGAGCACCCAGAATCTAGCCACTTATAGGGAGGGGTACAACGTGTACGGCTCCGAGGGGGTCAAGATATAGGGGTAGGATTTAGAGGCTGCCATACATAGGTGGGGTTATGGTGGTGTTGATCATGGTGGTAGTGCTATAGAGTTTGTTTTGTGGAGGCTGTCGCGCCACGTTCTTGATGTGATGAGGATGTGGTCAAGCATTGTGGAACCAATGTACCATTTTTTTTTGTGTTTTGGCTGTTTTACTTTTGTTTTTGTTTGTTCTTTTTTTTTTTCTTGACTTTAGTATCCCAACATTTTCATGGATTATTTATTTATTTTGGCTTTTAATATGGTTTTGCTTCTTTTGTGATTGAAGTTAGATTTGTGTCGCCAAAACTTGGCTCCATTGTCTTTGGCTGCAGATGATGAGGATGATGATGATGATGAGGAGAATGACAGTGATGGTGAAGCTCTTGGCTAATAAACAGATGAGGCACCTGCATTGTTATTTTAGTACATTTATAATAATATTGGGATGAATCAAGGATGCACAACTCCAGTGACATGATTACCTGCATGATGAAACTTCCAATTAATTAATTTTTTAATTCATCCATGTATTTTCTTTAAGAACATAACTCGTTACTTATGAGTTAGATGTTTGATCTCTTGTGATGTTACATCAATAAAGGACAAGACAGCAAAAACAGGTGTAGACAGTTTCTAAATTAAACATTGCAGTTTATATTTTTACCTAAATATTACCATTCTAGCAACAACAAATGTGGAAATATTGGCAGTAATTATCTATTTTTGTTGTAAAAAAGTTGGTTTATTTTTGTGTCTTACCAACCTGGGAGCATAACCTTGTTGCCAAGGTTCTCCTCATTAAAATTTGTAACTGCTTCTGGCTACAAATTAATTAGCTTCTGTGTGGACAGCAATTATCATGAATTTGTTTCTGATGAGACCATGTTTAGGTGACCTGATAATGTGACTGGCATCTAATGAAGAATGTCAAGTAAAAGTTCCTAAAGGGTATGAATTTTAATTTGAGCAACTTTTCAACTATATTCAGGTCTAATGTAGTCACAGTTGAAACCAAACGTCTAAATACACACATAAAAAAAACACGTACACGATCGTTAATCAGGAAAATAGTCCATATCCTATGTACAACAATAGTCTGTCACCGTAATCGAGATCAGACATCATCACCTATATAAAGAAGAAAGAAATTTTAGGTGTCCTTAAAATACCTGGATTTATTTGAAAAGCGATAACATGGCCGATTAAAATCTATTTCTTATTTGTGCTTTTAATAGTTGCTGGTTTTATGGCTCTAAAATATGCTATATGAAGAAGTCTTAGAGATGAAAAAGAAATAGGACGGCAACACTATTTGCTTTGAATTTATCTTTGCGTACTATTATTTGACAACCTACATATTTAGTAATTTATTTGCAGCACATTCCTATTTTCACTTTGTTCTCGTTCATCAATCCGATCAAAATAGTGACATTTGTGATTGATTTAGGTGGTGTGATCATACGTTTTGCAAACAAATGTTCCTTCAGGATGTAAAAGGCAGAGCCAGAAGTATATTGCATTTTCAATTCAATAAACCAAAGATAAATGAGTGCAAAGTAAGTTCCGTAAGAACTCTGATTGCTATTAGCTCAGCGTTTTCACTCATGCATTGCGTATTCACTGTCTCATCCTCAAACTGGAGTTGCGCAGCCCTGCTGCCGATGATCCGAACTGCCCTGTTTGACTTATTTCAGTCCTGGCAACTTTAAAAAAGCCCACTTACTTACTTTGCATCAATAGAGAGGGATAATTGATGAGCAAACACTTCATATAGAACAGCCACTCAGTGATGTTGCAAAACCATGACTCATGTTTACTGATAGCACCGAGCAATTACTGTGGGGGTAGGTGAAAGAATATGCTGAGCGCAGCTCTATTGGCCTGCATAACAAACCATTCAGACGTAAAACAAGATGTATTTCACCTCCAACTAAACTGGCTCAGTCTATGCCCAAAATAAAGTATTGATGATTAAAGAAAGGACTCGAGGTATAGTAATTGTCAGTTTCAGGATTGGCGTTTTGTCCGCTAAATATAAACTGGGAGATAATAATCAAAAGCTGTTATTGAAATGTTTTTTTTTAATCTTGCCATCTGGACTTGAACGCTACGACACATATAACATTTTGTTTTCTATAAGTGTAAATAAATCATCCTGTAAAAGGGTAGGTCTGAAGCAAAAATCTGTAAACAAGGAGTTGTGGCTCTCAGAAACATGAGGTTTAATTTTCAGGCAGCAGCCACAGCTGTTGCATCACTTGGTTGCCTGTTTGCATGAAGTGTAAACCACATCTGACCACAACAGTCAGTCACTCCCTTTCTATAAATCTTAAGATATGAAAGGAAAAAAAAACACTCCTTCACATTTTCCCTTTGTCTTTCCAAGGTCCTGACCTTCCCAATTCTATCCTTTAAAATCCACACCTACAGACTACAGAAGCCTCAATCCAGAAATGCATGTCACCCCTAAATGCAGATGTCTACTTCCCGAATTTTGTCTACCTATTGTTTGTTGACTGTTGCCTGCTTTGGCATTTGTTAAAAGAAAACTGCACAATATGATTACACAGTATATGAAGATGGAGACATGAATGTGCTGTTTAGATTGCATTAGCCCCAGTTTTAGGTTAGACTTTTAAAATTACACATAGGCCATGTGCAACATTCAACCATAGAGCAAAGTTGAATTATTTTGCATACAAATGCATTTTGTTCCCTTTAGAGGGCAAAATTATTTTTAATAGCTAAACAAAATTTACTGGCGGAGCTTTTGAGCAGTATGAATAAAGTCTCTCCAAACATCTCCGTACTGCAATTTTGCAATATTAATTAAAAAAAATCTAGCTGAACAGCTAAGTGTGCATTTCTTTTGATGCATACATGAATAGATGCCCTCTCCTACCATTGTAAGTACGGCGTTTCAGCCAGTAAACCTTTACTCAAAACGTTTGAATATGTTTTAACCAAATCATTTTCTTCAACCAACAACCTAAGAACAAATCTACTAATGATCTGCTTTAGTGAATATTTTAAAATTGTTTTATAAAGCTCATAGTTACATTGTTCTGATGCCAATTTTACAATTTGATTAAATAAATAATTAAAAAGCTAAATCAAATTTAGGCAATACCACTCAATGATAATGTAAAAAAAAAATGTATTTTTGCATATCCTTTTGGTCAAAAAATGATGTAGAAAAGTAAAAGTAATCATGTTGTTTTTTTGTGTTTGTTTATTTTTTGTTTTTTTTTGTCTATTGCAGCACATTGTCCTCCAAATTTACTGGTACGCCAGAAAAAGATGTGTAAAAAAAAAAAAAACAAATTCTTTTGATGCACATCATAGTTTTTCTCAGTTGCTTTGGTACATTTCTCAGAGCAGAAGTGAAATTCTCAAAACTTCTTGTTCATTCTTCAAATCATCCTGTCACTTGTTCACATGGAAAAAAGCTGTTTTGCAAGTTTGGTATATCTATTCAAGTGATAGTAAATGATTCTTCACTTTTTCCTATATTTTCAATTGCTTCTGCCATGTGGATCAAAATGAGTCTCTGTTGAATTGTCTCAGCCTCCACAACATTTAAGCCCAAGTTCAGTAAATGTCTTTCATGTTGCTATACGTTTCCTTTTCTTTCCCCAAATCTGTCCTGAATTGATCAATTGCTCCAGGCTGAATCCTGAGTTGACCAAGCAATCAACTGTTATATCTGTACACATTGACACAAGGACTTGTCATTCTGTGAGTTGATTGACACAGATATTAATTTTTGAGAGATAAACTAAGGATTTTGAGAAATAGACAGGCTTTTGCTGATGATCCAGTGTTTTGCTTTTTGTACAAATTGTTTTCAGAAGTGCACTTACTATTTTGCAGAAGTCGAGGATGATTTGAGGTATTTACCAAAGCAGCTGAAAAAAAAATGCAAAAGAAAATAAAGAAATAAGAAAAATAACTAGTTTTAAGTAAAATAATTTTGTCATTGTTAAAAGTTGGAAAGAAAGAATAATGTGCTATTCAGGTATGACAGATTTGTATAATCTTCAGGAAATGCCTGTGGCAAAGTTTAAAATGTGGCTGAAAAAAGATTCATGTTTATCGTAACGCCACATAGATGGAGATTAAAACTTTTATGTGCAATTAGATTTTTATAAATATTACGTGAAGACCTCTAACAGATTTTTTTCCAGATGTGCCAATAAATGTGGAGGACGCTGTATATGTTGCTCTATTTGTGTGACGGTGATAAAGTCGGTGTAAATTTATATGTTGTGTGCACAGGCACATGCATGTATAAGTGGTCTGGGCATGTTGGTCAGCAGAAATGTCCATGTGTTCAGTGAATGGGTTGCATTTATCAAATGATTCCTGTTTCTGTGATGAGTTTTTAAAAAACAAAACAAATCATCTGCTGTCTCCACCTCCTTCCTATGTCCTCTCCATCTCTTCTCACACAGCTCTCTTTCTCTGAAGCCATGCGGAATAAGGCCCGACTGTCCATTACGGGAAGCGTGGGGGAGAATGGCCGCGTCCTGACTCCAGACTGCCCCAAAGCCGTGCATGCTGGTCACGCCTCCCTCCGACACCCCGGCCTTGCAGTGGTCTCCTCCGGACTGCCCTGAAAACCAAAAACACCTGCCGTGCCTTAAACACACACAAACATGAGGACTTTGAAATCAACACACACACACAAACACACAAATGCTTGCAGCATATCATATTCTCACACACACACACACTCATTATAGCGACAGAAAACTGAACAAAAATACTCAGAAACAGACATTTTTAAACACTTGAAGACACAAGAACGAACTCTGCGAAACCATTTCACCTTCCTGCTGCCACTGGCTCAATTTACAAAAGACAAATGAACTAAAACTGTGAAGTGAGAGGTCCAAAAAAAGAAAGAAAACAACCAAGACTTCACGGTTACCTACAGCATTAAGATGTTTTTTTCTTCTTGTTGTTTTTGTTTTCAGTTTTTGGAAAGGACGATATTGTGATCATTTCAAGCCAACGTGAAAGCCAGCACAGATTACAAAAACCACAAATCCAATCAGATCATGATGATGGTGGCAATAAAGATGATTGAATCTTTCGAAGACACGTAAAACACGCCCGTTCCTACTCTCTTTGGATATTAATGGCTCTCAAGCCACACCCTCTGGAAAAAGGCCTTAGTTATTCCCTGCAAACAGTATTTTCATAATCATCATCATGGTCGTCATCGTTACTTGCCTGCAAAGACTGCGTGCCAGATATTACAACTATTAGGAGACCAGAAAACTGTAAGCTTGAACGGTCAGACTGTGCAAACCTGCTCCTTTGCCACAGACTCTTCATACGAAATGAAAAAAAGCCTTTTTTAACGTACATACAGAATAATCTTTTTGCTCTAAGTCAGCTGGGTGATCAACCACTGCAGTACTGAAATAACCTCGAAATGTGTGGCTACTCTTTGCTAAGGAATACACAGAAGTTTGTAAAAGAAAAATATATTAATTAATAACATTTTTTTTTTTTCCGTTAGCAGTAACATTATATTAGTAAAACCACTAAGCAGACAGATGAATATTCATTTTTGTTCGGCAACAATGGTGAAGTTTGAACTCAAGAGATGAAAACAAACATACGGGCAGATCTTTAATGGCTCAAAATGCTTCTCATCTTAACCACTGGGAAGTCAGAGAACTTTGCAAAAAGAAATTGATGAAGGCTGCGTGGAACATCGGTTTAAACAGAAGTACAACGTAGAACTCAGATGCTGCTAAAAAGGTGAGCTAAAGTGCCTTTCAGAAATATTCATTCTCTTTGAACTTTTCCATATTTTATTACAGTACAATCTCAAAGTTCAATGTAATTTGTAGGAACTTTGCAGATGACGGACTTACACAAGGTAAAGCAAAATTATGAGGTGAGAAGAAAATGCAACTTCATCTTATATCTTCTTTTGATCAAATATAAATCGGAAAAGTCCGGCATGTATTTGAACTCCCATACCAGTGTTAAGACTTTCTTCCTGAATTGCTCTGTAATTACCTCTATTTGTCTTCCCATCGACTTTGACCAGCTGTCACCTCCTACTGGAAAAGCATCCCGACATTACCATCTTGTTTCAGGATAGTGTGCAACATTAAAACGTCTAGATTTTAAATCTTTCTTCCACATTTTCTGTGCTCCCTATATGGCTTGTGGCAAACTTTAAACAGGACTTCTTGTCTTACTTCCTTTCAAAAATATGTTTTTTCTTGCCCCTCTTCCAGTAAGGTTAGAACTGTGGAGAGTACGACTAACAGTTGTCTTGTGTGGACAAAGTCTCCCACCTGAGCTATGAAACTGCAGCTCCTCCATGGCTTTTTCTCCCGGCTTCTTCTCTGTTCTTTTCTTTCCATACATCCTAATTAAATCCTTTTTAAATGTAACTGCTACCACTGGATTGTAATTAGGGGTACCAGAGTGAAATGGATCAAGACAAGTTATTTCATACTAGGCACTTTGAATTGTCTTATTGCTGAAAATGTGTTATACAAAAAAAAAGATCTTACCTTACCTTACAAATGCGCCTTACACTTTCCAGTGTTTTATTTGTTGAAAATCTGTCTTTTAACGTCAGCTTCATGATTACGTGTTACTTTGTGTTGGTCTGTCACGTAAAAGCCCAAATAAACTGTCCCTTTTAAAACCGTTTCTTTGGGTTAAAAAGTGCCACAACGTGAAAAACTTCAAGGAGGATGAATCCTTTTCAAGGCACTGCTTTAGGCATATTGAAATATTTCTTCGTAGATCTGCCCACAACGCAGTCACCACCAATTGTTTCTGCTGGCCACAATCAAGTTGAAAACCACCGGTCTTTTAAAGGCTTACAGGTACATTTCACAATTTAGCTGGAGCCCTAATGGGCACTTTGGTTGTTGTTCTACGCCCTCTGATTTTTCAGTGGCTGGTGCAGAGGTACCAGAAAGCTTGCTTATTAAAACAGTTGTAAATAACTGCGTAGCAAATCAGAGCTCACCTGTCTTTTTTTTTAAAGCATCTTAGATAACAAATCATTGCAATAATGAATATAAAAAGAAAAATGCCACAACTTGTAATTAAGTAAAAACTCCTTTTTTAAAATAAATCTACTTACTTATATATAAATATATATGATGCATATAAATATATCTATATGACAATAGAGAGCTATAGTAAACATTGATCACTGATTGTCAGAGGCCATGACACACATTCTGTTACATGGCTGTTTCTTTTGATAACTTGAGAACATCATGACGCTATAGTCATCGTGTGTCCTGATCCACACCGAATGTCCATCCGGTACTCACATGGACACACACACACGCATACACAATGTGCACATTTACATTGTCGCATTCACAGGGTCAGCTTAAAGTGATCAGTCGAAAAGAAATGTCATTATCATCTTTTTTCTATGTGAAAAAAAAAAAAAAGCTTTTAAACCTCATATTTAAAGTCTTTCTGTTCATGAGCAGAAATGATTTGAGTCATTATAATTTTGTGGGAGAGTGAGAGAAGTGGGTTTCCAGAGACCATGGGTTTGGACTGTTAGGAGGACAGCGCAGTGCGACGTTTCAAGAGTGTAATATTTTCGGGGCATTTCAAATCAACTTTGGTCCATTTTGTTGTCTCTTCTCACCAGGTGTGAGTCCCGCTGCAGATCGAAATCCAATGTTATTTCAAATTAAACAGGGTTTTTTACATCAACCAGTCCAGTTTTTTCTCTTTTTTTTAAAACTGTTGCATAATGTATGGGATTTTGTCTTGGCTTTCATACTTTAACTGCTGGCCCTGGAGACAAAACAAATTACATATTTCAGTGATATCTAATGAGCTTTTGGCAAACGACAATGTGTCCAGGAATGGATTCGCATTGCCACCCTAATACAGTATTGCAGAAATTGTGTTCATTTTACAGTCTGATGGTGTAATTGGGAGATTTTTTTTATACCAGTGCTCCCCCTTTGAGCATTTTTCTATCTTTCTCTTCCTCTAATTTTTCTACTCATTCTACAAAAACAAACTACTTTTTGTATTCCCTTTTGAAAATGAAAAGTGGTTTATTATAAGCAATAAATTCACTGCCTAATAATGAGACAAAGGTAACTGATAAACCAACTGATATGAGGTTTGTGAAGCTGTTTGGGCCAGTTTTCACACAAATAAAGTCCAATCTTTAAATTGATCAGGTTAGAAATCCATTAAGTTGGAGTTATCATAATTAATGACAAACCAAACACTTTTTAGACAATAAAGTTGTACCATCAAAAAAGTTTATAATTCACCTTTTTAAGTTGACCTACTAATTTTTACTAATCTCTGACTTTTTCTTTTCCATGAGCCACAAGTAGAATATTTCCACTACTTATAAATACAGTATGAAATGGGAAAATACATAACATTGGGTTAAGGCAGATCATTTTCTAAAAAATTAAGAAAAGCCAATTAGAACATAACTTCAAAATTGAGACAAAGCTTAATGAAGACCCATATTCTGTATGATGTAGCATCAAACAGTATAAAGATATTTATCTACACATATATAGGAGAATTGTAGCAAAGGGTGACATCTTGAGGTTGCAAAGTCTTCATATCAGCAACTTAGTACCTTTAGTGCATATCTTTACTAGGATACCAGTGTTTGTGGATGGCGACATGCAAAACAACTCTAACCCTCATAAGCATCAGTCAGCTCTGAAATTATTCATCTGATATTATTTTGTTTTTCACCAATCATGATGTACAGTGCACACATTGTCCATTTGGGGGGGGGCTGGAAGTTGCCAGGAGAAGGTAACTTTTTTTAACCACAGGAATGTGATTAAGAAAGGAACTGCAATCACACATTTCAAACAAATCAGATTGGTATTTGCTTCACATGACAGTGTTAAGACATTATTCCTGCAACCTTTCTCAGTAAGATAAACAAATCTGAAGCTTCAAACTGCTAAATAAAACAGCTTATGCCTGAGTTCAACCACAGGATGAGCAAACTTTGCATGAAAAATGGAAAAGCTGTGCCATGGTTTCAACATATGCAAAAGCAGTTATTATTTTATGACATTGTTGTTGGGGGTGGCAAGTAAGACGGCAATATTCTGGGTTTAACATTTTATCTTTTGTTTCTCAATGTCTTTCTACATGTTTTCTTTACTTTTATAGTAAAACATCAATTCCAAATCCAAGGTCTTTCTGTAATTTTTGTCATTGATCTCACATTTTTACTTTGATTTAGTTAGACAATTTTCATAGTGTACTAATAAATTACATAAATAGGAGGGGGCAAAACCTTTACAGAGCTCAAAGCAATAAAACATGACAAAAGTTTTGGCTGGTTTGTTCATTTAAAAACAAAACTTGCAAATAGTCAACAGCATTTCTAAATTACTAATTCCCAATTAGCCTTTCATGGAACATTAGTATTTTTTCGATAACTTTTCAACTCATCCCTTGTCATTTAGGCTCCTTTTTCAACCTCTGGGGACCAAACACTCCTAATGCAAAACCATCACTGACAAACATTTCCCATCTATATTACACCAACACAAATACACACGCTCTCTCACACACGCACATTACACTCCCAATACAGGGTTATTACTGACAAGAATTTCCCATTTACCCGAGGATGAAGGAAAATAACCATTTTGAGGATGTCCCTCCACCCTTTTAACCTTACGCCTTCATGTGCAAATGCACACAGCACACATTCACAAACACCTTGGATCAACCTTTTTACCGCCCCTGCAGAGTTAAAACACCCTTTTCACCTTTTATGTTTTATTAGCCTGGTTTATCTCATCTCTGTCTCATCTTTGCATTTCATCCCCCATTTCTGCTCAGCCCCCCCACCCCCCTGCCCCTATTTTCTTCCCCTCATTTCTCCACTGTTTTCACCCTCAATTCCTCTAATCATTCTCTTTACTCCCCCTCCTCCTGTCATATCTAATTTCTCCATTTTTGCATCCCTGTCTCTGGGGAGCAGATCTCAAACCCCGATTTCTCATCCACAGACCCACACCTGTCATATCCACCCCGCCTGCTCTTTTCTTCCCAGCCATCTCTCATGACAGAAGGGAAAATTAAATTCCTACACTCTCTCCACGCACACCCATATTTGCAGGTGTGTTAAATTGTTGTTGCAGATGCACACGCGAGCATCTGCTGTGTTCTTAATATACGCTTCTCAGACCACTGAGAAGCATGGCGCTTACATACCTACAGTCAATTAGACACGACATCAGATGACGACGGATGAACACTACAAGGTTGAATTAGCGCAGCGTTGTTTTCTGACTGAGCGAGGAGTTAATCAAATAAGCAAATTGTTTTTCATTTAATTACATCCAAAAACTGTGACTAAAATGTTTGTTTGAAATCAGTGTTAATTCAAGTGTAACTAATTAGAAATTAATTAACAAAAAAAAAAAAAAACATTTGTTTCTGGATAATTACTCCTGATTAGATATTAGTTGCATTAGTTGCATCATCACAACAATTTTTTTCTTTGACAAGTACAAATAATATACAACTAGAAAAAAAACTTTAGTTACCTGGCCTTTTAGACTTTATTGATGTACAGGAATATCCACGCACGACATGAACACTAAAAACTAAGGGAAACGTCTAGAGTGTGAGTTCTCCAAACCAGCAAATAAAGAGTTTGCACATTGCACCCACTTGGTACACAGCAGGTGTGCCACAGTGTGCTAGTAATGTGCTAAATTCATTTACATTTTACTCGCGTTCAGGCAGATATCTTGCATTATTCTCTAGTATCAGCTCATTAACCAGTTTGTAGGAGGGAAACTTAGCACTGTTCAGAGAAGCAACATTCTAGACTTCATTGGTGCCGTCTTAAGCTGTTAAAAAAAAAAACTCTAAATCTTCCCAGCGCTTTAATGCAAATGCTAGATAAAATTGAGATAGCTGTTTACCGTGTCACTATTCTCTCAATGGAACAGCCATCTTGCCCTGTTTACTTGCTTGCATGGAAGCTGCTAATTGTATCCTGCCACAAACCAGCCTTGACCAACTGTTCCGCTGATTTGATCCCCTGACAGGTTTCATGGTGCCATGTTATTCATAATAAAATCTGAACCATAATGTGGAGGCAAAACAAAACATTCCCCTCATGAGAGAAGTACTTATTGAAGCATCTTTTCTGTACCAGTAATTGAAACATGAATTGTTTGTGTTTCTTTAAAGAGATAGTTTAGATGTTTTCCAGTGAGAGAGGTTGTGTGAAGTTATTTCATTGCATTTTGAAAGCTGAATAAAACCTCAGAACAACAGAAGTCATCAAGACAAAGCAGAGATCTGAACACTGTCTTGGTGTCGTCTGTGACTTAAACTCAAAACTTGGCTTTGACTCGAAGTTGGTGACTTGAGTCTCATAAGAAATCATCTGATCTTGTGTTCCAAGTTAAGCAGGAATAAATTATTTGGGTAAATTGTTAATGTTGTTAACTTTTTTTATTTATTTATTTATTTTTTTTTTTGGCTCAATTCAATGTTAAAGTGTTTAATTAAACTTCAAGACTATATGATATGAAATCATAATATACAATAACCCACAATAATGAGACAGACATAAATGACACGCATTTGATATGACAACACTTTTTTTTCCAGAATTGACTTGGGCTTGAAAATAACTTACAAACATTCATCATTACTTTTTGCTGAGATCCTAATTTCTTTGATTGTCTTTTACGGATGATTTTCCATGTTTGCTCAAAGAAACAAAATAGAAAAATTATCATCACGAAGAGAAAGAGATAAAGATTTGTGGTTGGTTTACAGTCAGTGAAAGATGTCTCCCTAATGCTAAGAATTTATTATCTCAAAAGTTGCTTTAATGGAAGAATAAGTTTAGCATTTTTACTGCACTTTTCTCATATTCTTTTATAAAGGACAATACTGGGTGATTTTAATAAAGAAAACAGATGTATGAGATATTCATAAAAAAAAGAATGTAGATCAATTTATTAACAGGCAAAGTACAGGGTTATTTTGAAATGTAAGAGATTTCTGAAATGCCTCAAAAAGATGTAGGAAAGTCAAGCCTTGCAATACCAATTCTGATCTGTACAACCTTTCAGCAGTTATCAGCAGCAGCAGCTTATTGCAAAAGGACCTTGGGTCATCTCAGTCTGTCATTCTCAGTAGTTCTCTAAGAAACTTGTTTTTGTTTCTTTTTGATGGTAGAGAAGTTAAGGTAATACTAAACCAGAAAAAAATAGATATACTGTAATGTTTTTAACAGGCCGGCATGTGGCAGTTTCACCCAGAATCAGCTTTTCTACTGGAAAAGGAACTAAAAGTTGGTTGAGATGTTGCGGACTGTTTCTGTATCACAAAGAGGATTTTCAGCACATTTTATATCCACTGAGATCTGAACAGGAATCTTTTGAATATGAAACTTTTATATTACAGAAAATAGAATAACCCCTGGATCAAAAACTACTATTCTTTTATGATTTGATCTGACTCTCTGACTACCTGACCGTGGAGATGGGTGTGTGTGTGTAGTGGGGGGGGGGGGGGGGGCGTGTGTGTGTCTGCCTATTTTATTTATTTTTTCCGTTGGTAAGTTTGCTCATGCTCTTATATCGACAGAAACAGCCTTCGTCAACGCTGTGCCAACTTTGTTATTGTTACTGTTATTGTGAAGGGCTGGACCGGAAGTGCTACGCGGCAGTACC